GTGGTGTGTTTGTGTGTGTGTGCGTGTATTTAAATTACTGTCTGTTCCTAGATTATTCACAGTGGCTGGATAGATTATAACCAACTCTAGAGAATGGATTTGGGAAGCTTTGACTAAAAATAAGATCTCATGGTAGCTATAAAATTGGCTGATGAGGGGGTGAGGTCGAGAGCTCTCTAACTTTCTTTTCTTTCACATAGAACAGTGTAGCACATCATTGAAAGGATTTCAAGGCTGGGCACAGTGGCTCACGCCTGTAATCCCAGCACTTTGGGAGGCCGAGGCAGGCGGGTCACAAGGTAAGGAGATCGAGACCATCCTGGCTAACACGGTGAAACCCCATCTCTACTTTAAAAAAATACAAAAAATGAGCCGGGCGTGGTGGCGGGCGCCTGTCATCCCAACTACTTGGGAGGCTGAGGCAGGAGAATGGCGTGAATCTGTGAGGCGGAGCTTGCAGTGAGCCGAGATCACGCCACCGCACTCCAGCCTGGGCGACAGAGCAAGACTCCGTCTCAAAAAAAAAATAAAAAAGATTTCAAAAAGTTGATATAAGACCTCTAACCATTTAAATTTTACTGTCACATCCTGCACTGGATATGGTTTGGGGAGTCCTCCATAATTATTCGTTTCTGCGTGATTGATTTCAGTTTTTCTATTTCCTGTGAGCACCCATAAGAAATTATTTCAGGCAAGATGCTGCTACCTAGAAGATGAACAAACTTTAATTTTCTTCCAGTGAATGCTATAAAGCTAAGAATTGTGAGAGTTGAAAATCCAGTTTGAGAGGAAAGGCCGGTGTTTTCAAGGGCAACCATCACCGATGCCCGGGCTCAGAGGGAGACACTAATTAGTTCAAGGTCACACAGCAAACAGGCAGCAGAACCCAAGTCTGGCTGACCTTAAGGCTGGGATGCTTTTCCTGATCAAAGCTTCTCAAACTTTCCCCCAACATCCCTAAGGGCAAAGGAGAGCGAACTTGGACCTGCAGGGCAGTGGCGCAGAGGCCGGAGGGGAAGTACAGGATTTCCTTGCAGTTTCATGTTGTCCCTGTAACAATCTCACAGTAAAATAAATTATCCAGGAAGCTGCACTTCAAGTCCCACCTGGCAGAGCTCGGAGACCTGGGACCTCTGTGGAGTAGCTGCCCTCACCCCACACAAGCCTCCACTATCTGTAAACACAGGCTCCTGTAAGTTTTCACCAACCACTCCAAGCCCAAGTTTTTCTGAGCTTTGCTCTCCAGGGGCCTGGAGCATTTCTAGAAATCACAAAGCCTCGAACTTTTCCATTTTTTGTGTTCTGGGAGATGTTATTTGGGGAATTCCCTCAGGCACTGCGCTCTGCTCCGTCTAATGGAGGCTGAGCTGCACTGGTGTCCGGTTGCCCCATCCAGCCAGCCAGGCGGGCCCCCTCTCTCCTGCAGCTCCACATCCAGCCCACCACCAAGCCCTGTCCATGTCCCCTCCTGCTCTTGGACACTTTTCCACTTTTTCCCGTCTCTGTGCCCTACCTGGACCTGGCCACGCCCATCTCTGGCCTGGACCACTACAGCAGCCTCTTTCCTGGTTTTCTGCTTCCACTCTTGCCCTCTCAAACCCAGTCTCCTCACAGCAACCCCAGCAATCCCTCAAAGAAACAAATTTGGTCATGCCCACCCTCCCTCCTGCCCCTTCCATGGCTCCCTATTGCCCACATGTCAACCCATTTTCTGATGCCTACAAAGCCTGCATGGCCCTGGCCACCTCTCCAGCCTGATACGAAGCACTCCCTTTCCCCCTTTATTCCTGTGCTCCAGCCAGGCTGGCCCCTCCCAGTTGCTAGAATTCACCAGGCTCCTTTTCAGGAGGTTCACTGATGCTGTCCTAACTAACTGCAGTGTTGTCCCTTTAGCCCTTGCCTACTCCCACTCATTTATTCAGGGCATTTTTTCCTGAGTGCCTGCTACGTGCCTGGCACTGTGCTAGGCACCCAGTGTACTGTGGTGACCTAGTTCTTGCCCTCTTGGAGCTTATTATCTAACAGGTAGACAGATGCACGGAAATAATCATGAACTGTGAGAAATGCTAGGATGGGAAATAGCAAAGTGATAAGGAAGAGACTATCAGGGTGGGGACAGGGAAGAGGACAAGTGAAGCCTCTTCCAACTCATCCTTAGACCTCAGCTCAAAACTCACCTCCTCTGAGAAGCCTCCCCTCCCTGCTAGACAGGCCAGGCCCTTGCTCATCTGCTCTACAGCTCCCTGCTCTCTTCTTCCCCAGCACTTGCCATAATTTGCAATTAGACATTGATTTGTGCAACTAGAGCAGTGGGGAGGAATGTGCTGTAGAATATCTACTCCGCCTCCAGTGGGAGCTTGGGGAGGTGTCCCCAAGGCTGTGTTCATCCACACAATCACCTAGAGATGTGTCATTAACCCGTGCCATAGAGGAACCGACTGAGTCTGGGAATAAGAGAGGCTGTGTTAGTCATCTAATGAGGCCTAACAAATTATCCCAAAGCTTAGCCGAACAATGACCATTTATTATCTTATTCCTATGGGCCAGGGATCTGGTCATGGCTGAGAAGGGTCCTTTGGCTCTGGGTCTTTCCAGAGGCTTTGCTCAAACTGTTAGCCAGGGCTGCAGTCTCACCTGAAGGCTCGACCAGGGACAATCAGCTCCCAAGCTCACTCACACAGCCATTGGCAGGTGAGGTTCCTCCCTGGCTGTTTGAAGGCCTCAGTTCTTTGCCAACTGTTGGTGGGGGGTCTCCCTCGGCTCCTGGCCCTGTGGATCTTTCCATGGAGCAGCTCCTAACAATTGAGGGAGTGAGGGTGAGCCAGCAAGCTGGAAGCCACAGGCTTTGGGAGTCCTAATCTCAGAAATGGCCGCCCATCACTTTGCTGTGCTGTATTGGTTAGAAGCAAGCCACCAGGTCCAGCCCACACTCAAAGGAAGAGATTACCCAAGGGCTTGAACACAGGAGATAGAGGGGGCGGGTAGTCCCTGGGAACCATTTAGAGGCTACTGACCACAGAAGTCACATAACCTTCCCAAGGGCTCGTCGCTAGAATGTGTTCCAGCTGCCTTTGGGAGCTGGGCTTTCTGTGCCTACCACAGGGAGCGAGGACAGGGCAGGAACAGGCCGCTTTCTCCAAGTCTGGGGACCTCCTACTACTGGCCTTGGCCTTTCTGAAAACCACAGCAAATGCACCGTCTCCCATAGAAACTAGAGATGGTTTCCTGCCCAGCCCAGGAGGCTGGATGGGTTACAAGCATTTGCCATGTGAGCTGAGAAATGCTAGTTTTCAAAACCCAGGCCCTGGGGAAACCCACAAAGGGGTGATTGGCTGGAAAACGGGCCCATCTATTACCCTCCTGGGGCTGTGTGTAAACTGAAGAGGGGGTTATGCCATGGTCCTAATCCGGCCTTATAAAATGACTTCTCCTCCCGATTTTCTTGCCTCACACTTGAAAAGCCATTCATGCCTCCTCTGGGACCCTTTCTGCGGGTTCAAGAAATCCCACAGTTCTTATGTTTCTCCTCTCAAAAATGAACTCACTGTATATCCTGTATCCCTGGGCTAGTGGAAAATTAACTCTCAGTTATTTGGGGGAACTCCCTCCCCATCTTCACCCCAAACCCCATTGGGGTGGCATGGTCTGGGGCAACTTAGTGCAGAACAATCGGGGGTTATTTCCCCAGGAGGATATAAGCTGAGTGACAGCAGGGACTTCCGTCAGTTTCATGCAGTGATGTGCAGTGGGTGCCTGGCACATAGCTGATGTCCAGTAACTCTTTGTGGAATGTTGAATGAATGCCTTTTGCCTTGTTGCTACACCCCTTACCCAAAACGTGCTTCTAAGGGAGGGACAAAGGAGTCCCCGCCAGGCCAGGGACCCGAGTTCCTTTACTCAATACAGGCTTGTCCTCGCAGGATCCAACGAGTGGCTTGTGAGTGAGGAGTCACCGCACTGCACTACGAGTCTCCTCTGTCCTAGAGCACCTGCTTCTGCCCTTCCTGGGTTCCAGAAACTTCTCCCTACTCAGCTGGATCCACCTCCCCATTCCCTAATCTCCCCAATCCACTGTTCTTCCTAGAATGATCCTCTTTTCTCAAAACCAAAAGCCTCTTTCTCACCTTTGCCCTTGGGGGTGGGAGCCAGGACAGCCATTGGCTCCAGGGCCAGCCCCCAGCTCTGCTCCCTGGGACTGAGGCACGGGAGGAGTGAGCGGAGGGCTAGTTCTAGCTCTTCTTCTTTCTGATCTTTCCCAGCAGTGAAACAACACCTGAATTTGTATCTCAACAAGTTTTCCAGATCAAGGCTGCAGGAGGAGAATGTTGACACACCCAGCAGAGGAAATTCAAAGTCTGAGTCAAGCCTGCGCTCTGCTTGGAGGTGAAGCGCTTTACATCCTGGGGGCCTGGTCTTCCTACCAAGCACCCTGCCCGCAGCTGGCGGGGTGGGGAAGGCGTTGTCAAGTGAATAAAACCGCACAATGTAACCAGCATCAGGAAAATGGCCGCTCTTGCCAGCATGGTGTGGCTGCCTGAAACCCCTCCGTCATAGCTCCATTCCATTAATCTAGGAGAATGGTAGACAACCCCCTTTTCAGGCACCCAGACACCATCCTTGGTGGGGCTCCTCCCTGTCACACGCAAATCTATACCAGCTAACAGAAGCCGCGAGTCTCAGGCCTCATGGTGACCTAGTCCCCTGTAGGCTTAGTCACACCAGGAGGAAGGAGACTCAGGCCCGAAAAGCCACCAGGCAAAGCCCACATTTATTAAGCACTTACTTAATGTCAAGTACAATGTTAGTGCTTTTCACGATCATCTCATGTAATCTTTGAGATAGGAATGAACACTCCCACTTTACAGTCGAGGAAACCAAGGCCCAGAGGGGTGTGACTTGCTCAAGGAGTAATGTCATGGGAAGGGTGACATAAGCATACTTGACTCCGCTGCCCACACTCATAATTACTATGGCCTACCGCTCCCTCCAAATCCCAATAGCAAAGGATCAGCACTAAAGGAGGACAGACATACTGGGGAGATTCAAAGAGATTCATGACCATCCGGGCAATCCGGGAAGGCTTCATGGACCAGGACCCAGGATTTGAAGGACAGGTGATATCTGACAAGTGGACATTCCAGGAGGAGCAAAGGTGTGTAGAGGTGCAAAAGCACGAGGAAGTTTCCCGGCCCTCAAAGCCAACCCTATAAACTCATGTATTATTGGACAAGTGGGGAAGTCAGGGAGAGAAGGTGAGAAAGGTGGGCTAGGGCCATATTACAGAGAATGGGATGATGTCAACCTGGGAGAGCTCTCTGGGTCTGACCAGGCTGAGAAGGGCCAGACCATGAGTGACATGGGCAGCAGAACCCAGCCCCCAAATCTGGGGTATCCAGCACTCAGGTATGCAGGTCCTTTGCTGGAAGACAGGACACCCAAAGCCTCCTGCTTCTCTGGACTTGTGAAACCACAGCCGCCATTCCCCAATCCCTCAACCCAGACACCTGGACAACAGGGAGAAGGGGTGCAGGAAGAAGGGAGCAAATTCATTCCAGACAGAACACATGGATCCCCTGCCATGGGCAGCCCCTAAAGATGCCGTCCACATTTTCAATGCGGACCCAGCTTGAAAACCCACTGAACCCTTCTGCAACTTTTTACTCTTCTTACCAGGATTTAGAGAGCTTACAAAGAATCCTGATTAGTTAGACTAAGGAAATTACATTTTCCCTGCTAATTGAGCTAAATTTGAGGAAATACTTTGTTATGCATACATTGAGATTCTTGTAATTCTTGTAAGATTGTGTGTGTGTGTATGTGTGTGTTTAAAGCCTTCATTACTACAAATACTAAAACAAAACAAAACATTTTTAACCACCCAGATTGTCCAACCCTCTCACTGAGTGAGGAACCAGAAGACCAGAGAGGGTCTGGGCGTTGCCTGGGGTCACACAGCAAGGAGTGGCAGAGCCTAGGGGCCCAGACTTCCTCATAGACTCCAGCCCAGCGCTCCTCCCACACTTCCATGCTGGCTGGGGAACTGCTGGGGCCCGAGGAAGGGTGGAGAGTGGGCCCAGAGCAGCCCAACTTGAGGGCTCATCAAAACCTTGGCTGAAGAGACTCTTCACCCATGTCCCTCACCCAGATACCATGGAACCTGGCTCAGTCATTCCTCCGCAGAGGGAAGCTAACATGCCTTGGAATGAGCACTGGCTGGGGAGTCAGAAGTCCGGGGATCCAGCCCAGCCAGGCCACTTCTTAGGTCAGCAGCACTGGGCTGCTCCTGTCACCTCTCTGGCTTTCTTGGCTGTAAAAAACAAAGAGGAGAAACCCCCTGAAAACAAACGGGGGTCAGGGGTGGGGGCAGGTAACACAGCCCCTGTAGTCACGTGCAGAGTGAATTGGAAACCAGCTCTGGAGTCACACTGCCTGGGACTGAATCCCACTTGAGTGCTATGTGACTTAGGCAAGGAACTTAAACTCTCTGTAATGTTTCCTCATCTGTGAAATAGGGATAATAATAACAGGACCTACCCCCATAAACCAGTTGTGAGGAAATTAAGCAAGATACTTCTGTATATGTGGAGGGTTCAGGATAGCACCTGATACATAGTAGGTGTTCTGCATAACTGTATAAATAACTGTAAAAAGTTAGATGCTATTGTTACTGCTCCTTGAGCCTCCATTGACCCCACACTCCCCACCCAGGACATGATACATGCTTGGAAGACTCAGATGTCTGTATGCCCAGAGCCTAGCCTCGTGCCTGGGACTTACAGAGTAAGAGTTGTAGCGGGGGGGG